TAAAGTACAAACATACCGTATTCCAAGGAGAACTGTACTGAGTTGAAACTGGCAAAGTTTGGCCCAGAATACTACCAAGGCAGTTTGCAGACAGCCTGTTTCCTCTGCAGATTTCTGTGTGGCACTAAGATGGTATTCTTTTTATGCAAATGATGAACCAGACTTATGGGTAAATTTACTTCTTATAGCCAACAATAAAATGAACCAAATCCCCAGGCTTTCTAAGAAGTACTTTAAATTAAAAATAAAACTGCTTTCCCCGTTTCATTGTTGCAGACCACTTCACCATTCTTTTTAGCACTACTGCTGCACAGACATTTGAACACTAAAAACAGCTCTTGCAGGTTTCTGCTGTGGAGGATATGGTATCTTAATTCTTAATGATATTGAAACACTTTTTGCCATTCATTGCACATGCACCACTACTTTTTCCATGAGTACCTCAAAGGAAATAGAGATTTTTTAAACGCTTACAGTTAAGAATGATGTATTATTTGTAAACAATGTATGGGAAAATCTTCCACTTTTGAACCACAACCTTGAAATACACAGCTTTCCTAAAGCTAGCTTTATCATCTTCTTATGACTTTTGTTTCTAACTAAAAATGATGTTACAGAAATTGTAGCAATAGATCTGCATACTACTCATCACAAAATGGGAATATATTTCAGGGCACTTTGACGGTTTCGCTCATTACACCAGTATTTAAGAAGCTTCGCTGCTGTCGGTAAAGTATAGAACTAATTGATTCTCCTGCTCACGTCCAGGGCATTGCGTGGTCTTGCCCTGCCTTACCTGGATACCTTCAGTTCTTCACGTGCTAGGCACCCCCCGCATTTTAGTTTTCCTATTGTCTCATCTGTTTTGAGTGTGTGCACATAAGTCCTGTTTTTTCAGGTCATTTTGTTATGCTCATGGGTCACTTAATGAATTTCTTCTCATTTCATGTGATGGCTGCAACTGCATTTACTAAAAACTGAGTTCTATTGAAAACATCAGTCCTGCTTATAGCTGTCTGCATAATTAAAAGTTAATTTAATTTAAATTAAAAAGTGCTTTCTGGTTTTTGTTTTAGTTCTTTTTGCAGCTCTGTGAGATGCATGTATGACAAAATGTTGTATAATCAAGTGAATCTCTCTCTTCAAAAGATTGATGGGGAGATACAGCAGGATTTTGTTGTGCCATAAATGAGATTCTGGATTTAATTTGTAGTCTTCTACAGCCTGAATCTACTGTGTTTGCAGCTGATGTGTGCAGTCGGGCTGTCCTACAATCTGTTCATTCATGTGGCTGAAAGCCTATGCAATGTCCAATTCTGTCTCAAATCGGATACATTTAACTGTGGCACGGTCCTCTGAGGTACTCCAAGGCAAAATTATGGGACATGTAGAGAAAAAAAAAAAATGAGGGCAGAAGGAGCAAAAGCAAAACAACATTTTCTTGATAAATCAACCTGTAAAGATTAGCTGTTACGGTAAAATCAAAAGAGTCTAGCTGTTTGAATGAACCTCTGCAATAGAGCTTGCTCTTTAAAATTCTAAGAATGGACTCCCTTTTTTTGAACTTGTATCTTCGCAGAGAATGCTAATATCTAGATACAGGGGGAAAAAAATCTAGTCTGTTCTTAAAGTTTCCTTTGAATGAATAGGTGTAACAGCCTTCTTGTCAAACAAAATATAACTTGTCTATCCTTAAAGTGATTCTGTCAGATTTGTCTCTTGAGTCTCAATTAAGCTCTCTAAAACAAATGCGTACTTCTAACTTGTCTTCTAGAAAGACAAAAAGATAGCATTGCAATACAGTTCAGCCTTTCTCCCGCCTTCTTTCCTACTCCTTCCATTTATTTCTGGATCAGATGCATCTCCTCTTCACATTCTGTATTCCTCAGCTTTATTTCTTCCTTTTCCAAACCAAACAGTATTACTCCATGACTGCGTGACGATGACGATACCCCATAACTATAACCAGTAGTTCTTGAATGCAGCAGTTTTTCCCACTATCTTGTAAATTACAAACTACACAGAACTTCTTCATAGGTAATGCAGCATATACGCATTTCAGAAAGCACCCTGTTTCTTTAATGAGCCATAAATCCACATTAGAGTATCTGCAGCCATCACCATAGTTTATAACTCTAGTTTCCAACTACAAAATGATAAACTTTTAAGCACACTTGCCATAGAATTTATGAGATGCCATTTAATATCGCTGTTTCCTTGAAATTGTATCTAAAATAAAAGTATTAGTTAAGATGAAATTATGTAGTAGTTTGTCACTGAGAGATGGCTCAGCAGCGTGATGTGCAGCTGTATCTGCAGTGCACCTCATTACACAGTTCAGGAATATACACAGCATGTAAGCAGATGAGTCTTCAAAAATCCCAGTCCCAAACCAGTTGAATACTCTGTTATAGAAAGCAGCCTTCTGTAAAAAACATTACTTTATCTGCTGCTTCTAACAGCTCTTTCAGAAAGGCTTGTCACATGGCTAATATACTGCCTTTTCTCCCCCACCTTGGGAGTTTCTGATAGTAGCAATTGCTGAGAAACTTCAGATGGGTGCAGTAGTTACCTGTACCTTGCCTGCTGCCAGACCATGCGGCTGCTAATTTAAAACTATCTTGTCATTTTGCTGTAGTACTTGCTTTTCTGCAGTGACTTCCTCTGCTGTCTCTACATCTGATAAAGTTCGTATCTCAGACACTAGGAGCTCCCATGTACATGTCCCATGTAGCAGCACACCGTGTACTAATTCCTGCCACAGATGTGGTTCTCCAGAGGCTTTTTTTTTCATTCTCTGAAGTTTAAAAATGGGTAGCTGCTTTCATGAAAAGTTCTTAACCATGTGCAAACGTGTACCACTGAATGCATTGAAGTAATACTTATGTTTGTGTGCATCTCAGAATGTTTATGACCTACTTTCTTTGTCCGTAGAAGCCTCCTATAAGTTGTCTATAGCTATGTTTAGAGCAAGCTGGGCACACATCAGATGTAAATGTTTTGCAGTAAGAATTATTTCCCCAACCACAGATCTGCACTGGGTCTGGTCTGCTGAGTGATTTGGGGCTGTCCTGGCCAAGGAAACAGGTCGTCCCTGGCTTGTCTCGGCAGCCCAGCTCTGGCCATCCCAGCACTGGGCAGTACAAGTGCTGGGGGCAGCTGTTGTCATCTGCTGCCTAGGAGCTCCTGCAGAGTTCTCTTTACTTCTGGTTTGCAGAGATGTGTGTCCTGTGGTTTGTAGAGTCAGGAGGGTTGAGTACTCATGGCTGCAATTACTTGGCTTAGGTATCAGTTTCTGAAAATTACAAGACAGACCGTTCAGTTATAGTTGGAGCTGGCCTGACAGCCAATGTTTCCTGCTCTGGCAATTCTGATCATCTTAAATTAAACGATTGAGCAGATCAGAATACGTCTAACAGATTTTTCACTGTAGCTACACATTGATTCCTCCTTTCTGGAATCTAAGCAAATTTCTCCTGGATTTAGGTTTTATTCTTATGTGACCTCGAATAGAGCAAACTTAAATTTGATTTGTATTTGCTTCAGTTGCATAGAAGACCCGTGTTTTGGCTACTTACCTCTCCCTATTTAGCAGATGACATTCCAATTTGAAAAGGGCTTGTCTCTAAATATGACAGATGTGTGGTAGTTTATATGAGGTACAGATCTGGAGCTGGTGCATTTCTCCTGCGTGAGTTATGCTCGCAGCAGTACCTGCACTGTTGCAGCTATTTTTAGAAGCAATCCCTCTGGGTATGTCTGTGCCCTCGCTGTGATGTAGAAAGCAGCAGTACTGAGGAGGTATTCCATTATTTAGAAGGCAAATGCTAAGATTCATTGTTCTTTCTGTATCTTTTATGTGAACTACGGACACAGCATATTGTGCTAAATTAACGAGTAACAGAACTCAGGTAGACATTGCTGAGGTTATTCTGCTGTCAGCTCTGTATTAGCAAGTTCCCTCTACCACCCCAGATGTCCCTTTCCCCCGGTCTTTTCTTAGAGTTTCAATTCAATGTTGTTTTTTTAATTTTAATTTTTGTTGCTCTTGTTTTTCTTTCATGAGAGACCCAGGAGTGTGAAAACTGCTTTATAAATCCCATCCTAGTTTATAAATAAAGGAATTATCCCAGGATAGGAATGATCTGAGACAAGTACTCAAGCATTTCTCACCATTGGGGTGCTAGGTCTGGCAAGTGGTTTGGTGGCTGAACTCCCAACTTTAATCCTCATGTTTGTGCTTTAGAAAGCGGTTTTATTTACTGAAATATTTTGTCTTTTCTTAAAACTTGTAAAAGCTCTCAAACATTTTTGTGCTTGCACTGATTTAAGGTACTGTCTTGTTCTGTCCTGCATTGCCCTTATTTTTAGAATACTCATTTTTGCTTGTATTGTGGAAGTGATCATTGCTGTAAATTCTATGGCAATTAATCCTTTTAACAGGTTATTTATTAAAGGTGTTGGAAGCACTGCTGTACAAAGTGCATTGCAGAGGATACAGCCTCACTATCTAGAAGAATGCAGATATGTTATTCCTCTGTGACAAGCTCGGAAATGGTCTGTCTGCTGGTGTGGCTTTTCTGGAATTCTGTGTAACACCTTTCTAATTCCTGAGCACCAGTGATCTTTGAATTGCATTCAGGTATCCAGTCAGTAGTTGCAAGCAATGACAGCCTGTGGACAACTGCAGTGTAAAAGTAGAAAATGGCAAGTTCTACCTCCCTTCTTAGTGCTCTGTTTATATGTGCAGAGATCATCTCTGCATATGGAGCCAGTGCTTCCTAAGCATGTGGCTCGGTGCTCTCATGCTTTTGTGATTAAATGCATAGCTTCTATAAAACCTTTGCATGAACAACACGTGTTCTCTTGTTGGATGTCAGTGTGTTTTTCAAAGCACACAATGGAATAGCTTCAAGCAGGAGTGATGAAAATAGGTGTGAAGTTGCAGTGGAAAGTGTGCTTGTTGGGTTTTAATTGGTATCTTCATGTTCCCTTTCTAGGTCTGATGTAGTTGTTCTCTGCTTTTCAATTGCTAATCCTAATTCCCTGAATCATGTGAAAACGATGTGGTATCAAGAAATCAAGCACTTCTGTCCTCGTACACCTGTCATTCTGGTGGGCTGCCAACTAGATCTCCGCTATGCAGATCTTGAGGCTGTTAACAGAGCCAGACGGCCCTTGGCAAGGTAAAGTTTAAACAAGAATAGGAATTTAAAATGTAAATCAAATGTAATAACTTCCAAAGAGAAAAAGCAGAGCATGACATTTCCCTCCTCCCTTTTTTTTGAGTAAAATTGTAATTCGTAATTCTGTTGTTTTGGCTCATTACTTCTTAAACACACACAGTTATTATATGTTTCCAACAATATTTTTGCTCATTGGACATCCAAACTTGCATGGGTGCCTGGATACTAGTATAATGTAGATAATAATGATTACTGGGGGCTTTTATATATCTTTCTCCATCCAAATATGTGTCATGTCCTACCCTGTCTTTCCTATGAGGTACTGTTTTAAACAGATTGGTTCTATTCATGTATCTTAATTTTCAATGGGTTTTTCTTTTCTAAACATAATCGTAGATCATGCCAGAAAATAAGTGCTCCAAATTAAACTGGAGATTGAGAGAGTTAGGAGCTTCTGTAGAGAAGCTTTACTTTTCCTAGATTCAAAAAGAACAACAGCTTTCACATATTGCTTCTAGTTTCTCCACTTTATAAGAATCTGAATGATACCAGATTCATGAATAGTATCTGTGAAAATATAGTTAAAGCATCTGTTGTGACCTGTTACCATAAAAAGGCTGAATTAATATTACATGGGCTCTTATACAACTTTACCTTACATTCAAATTCTTGTCTTGCAATAACGTTTTCTTGGGTTTGCTTTTTTAAAAAGATTACCTTTTTGTGTGGGTGATCTGGGTTCTCTTGTGGACTCTTTAAAAGGAAATATTTTTCAAAACTCAAAATTATTCTAATGTTCCTTTATGATTTCACTAGTAATGAAGTTTGAATTAGGACTCTGCATGTCTAGCACACACTTTGCCACCTGAGCTGATTATTAGCTGGCAACAGCGAACTGTAGTCTGGAACATGTTACATCTGTGCCAGGTTGTGTCTGTCCAAAAAGGTATGCAGTGTTGAGGTCATATCTTCTGGATATTTCTGTTGGGAAACTGGATCCCAGCCCAGTTTCTGATTTGCTGTATCATGTACTAAAGCTGCTCTGGAAATTTATGAGATCCTACAGAATGCTTCTGAACCCAAACCAGGGCCTATCTCTTCATGTGTTTATTCTGTACAATTTTGTCAAAGGCTACTATGATTTTCTTAAAAAAGCGTAAACCTAAGAAATATTTCTCTCTTTGTATTTAGCTGTATTTGAGGCATTTCTCTGTCATTTTCTCTGTCTGACATCTCTGTCTGACAGTTTCCCATTGAGATTGAAGGATGAATACAAAAAAAGATGCTGGTTGAACAGCCAAGTAGAAGAGGATTTGGGGAGGCTTTTTTTTAAACAGAGTTCTAAAGCATCCTTTCAGCTCTTCCTACTGTAAATTTTTCATCAATAGAGAGAGAACTTGCTCCATCTTGTGAAAATGATTTTGTATATGTTTTTAGTAGCATAGTTACTTATAAAGACATCACCGAACTGGAGCAGAATTACGTGTGTTATTCTAATACTCTCTGGTATAGTGGTTGTAGATTCCCAAAGGGTTTTGTGCACTTATTTTTATGCTATGTATTTGTTTGAATTATATTTGTCTCACAATTGGTGCTGTGACATTTTGTAAAAATCTGTGCTTTCTAGAGTAACTCTGAAGTGATCACAGTGTGAGGAGGTCTGTTTTTGTTTAACCCTAGGCCGATAAAAAGAGGAGACATTTTGCCACCTGAAAAAGGCAGAGAGGTTGCCAAGGAGCTTGGGATACCGTATTATGAAACCAGTGTATTTGACCAATTTGGAATTAAAGATGTGTTTGACAACGCAATTAGAGCTGCCCTGATCTCCAGAAGACATCTGCAGTTCTGGAAATCTCATTTGAAGAAGGTCCAAAAACCTTTGCTTCAGGCTCCATTCCTACCTCCAAAAGCCCCTCCTCCAGTTATCAAAATTCCTGAATGTCCTGTACCGAGCGTGAACGAAGCTGGCTATTTACTGGACAGCCCTCTGTGTGCAGATGTGATGTTTGTTCTCCAGGAGCAGGACTGCATCTTTGCTCACAAAATTTACCTAGCTACCTCCTCTTCAAAGTTTTATGACCTTTTCTTAATGGAATGTGAGGAAAGTTCAGACTTGGATGAAACACAGTGCAATAAAGAAAATACAAGTAAAGATGTTCTGACAAGTCACCTTGAGACAAATTATGACACTGATGAGATATCCTTGAAATCTGTTGATGTTAAAATTCCTGCACCAGAAAGTACTGATTCTTTGAACATGCTCAAACCCGAACCTGCTGAAACAATTTCTGCAGCAAAATCTCTGTTAACCTGGGGTAAGGGGTTTGTTAGTGTGCATAAGGAAATGCAAATGAATCCTGTCTCAAATAGGATGTGTCCTGTAACTGTGGTAAAAATGGATTCCTCTGTGCAGGCTGGACCTTTCAAAACTGTTCTGCAGTTTTTATACACAGGGCAACTGGATGAAAATGAAAAAGATCTCACAAGACTGGCTCAGATTGCTGAGATCTTGGAAGTATTTGATTTGCGAATGATGGTGGAGAACATTATGAATAAAGAAGCCTTCATGAATCAAGAGATTACTAAAGCATTTCATGTCAGAAAAGCTAATCGGATAAAAGAGTGCCTTTGCAAAGGGACGTTCTCTGGTGAGTAAATACACACTTTAACAGGCAAAGTATTAATTCTCTGACTCATGTTACCGTCTCTTTGCGTACTTCAAAAGCTTACATTGTTCTGAGAGGAGAGAGATGAGAACAAAGTTAGTGTTACTCGTGGCCAGCTTTGTCAGCTTGGGATTCTGCAGTTTAACTTCTTCAGATCTATACGGAAGCTTTTAAATAAGTGGCTGAACTTTCCCAAGTGTTGAACAGCCAGCATCTCCCTTTTAAGTGAGGCTTTAAGGTTTTATTTTTACTTAACTGTGCAAAACCCTAGGGTTATCTTGGAGGAGAGAGAGAAGTTCTTGCTTAACAATGTGTGATTGATACGTGCATTCTTGAGGCACTTTCACTTTAAACACAGACTTGCAGCATGCCTGTTTCTTTGTTCCTATGGCAGATGTGACATTTAAATTGGATGATGGAACCATAAATGCCCACAAGCCACTACTGATCTGTAGCTGTGAATGGATGTCCGCAATGTTTGGAGGATCATTTATCGAAAGCTTGAACAGTGAGGTATTTGTCCACGTTTTAATAGTGTTTGGTGGATATTGGGCAATGGAAGCATCATTCTGTAGCTACTTGAGTGGTTACAGTAATCCCTGGAAAGATTCTTTCTTTTTTCCATGAAGAAAATTACAGTGCCTAGGAGGATGTCATAATTTCTGCAAGTCCTGAGACTTCCTCAAAATGTGCTCAGAACCTAAAATCCTATTTAAAATACTTTATATTGAAATAATTAAATATGAATGTCTAATTTCTTTCAAATAAGTTTTAAAGATGTGTGAATATGTATTTATTCAAGTAAAAACATTTTGAAGAATACTTGGGGCAGGAGACATTGATCTAAAGGAAAAAATACAACAATACAAAAAAGACATTGATTTAAAGGAAAAAATATTTTAAAAATTAGAGTACTAAACTAGAAATGAGAGCTGGCTTCACAGTACTTTGGCAGGAAGCTAAACTGTAATTCTCTACTGTGTTGTCTTATTCTCCTGAGTAAAACAGCTATAGAGTATAAAAGATCTCAAAGCTTTGAATTAAGATTTTTTACTAGAAACTGTATATTTTCAGATGTATTCATGGTCTATTTTTTGAGTTCTAAATGCTCCGCTAGCATTTTTTTCCATGTGTCTTACTGTATCTAGAATTTGATTTGAGTTTTGTTGGTTCTTGTTATAATTTTCTTCGTCCATTCTATCATGAAACTCTTACGAAGAGTTCAGGTGTTTTGTATTTAATATTTTGGAAGGTTGTGTTCTACTTAGATTTTTCTTGTTTTTTCTAATACAGCTGTAAACAATTCCTTGCCTGGAGGCATGCAGTACAAGTAGTTCATTTAAAAAGAAAACGAAACAACATAGTTTGATTGTAGTAAGCAACATTTGGCAATGAATACACATTTATTTTCTACCTATTTTTAATCATAAGCTTAAGTTTTAGCTCTTCTTTTGCATTTAAAATATTTAGCTTCCGCTTTGTAGAGTTTAAAGTGCTCAGTAATGAATTTGCAAGTTTTTAAGTACATGTAGATAGGAATTTAATTTTCTTCTCCAGCTGGTTTACAAAAACAAAATTACCTACTTTTCAGTTATTACTTTTCTGTACTTGAGGCACAGTATTCAATAAATTCATTCACTGAATTTACTGTTCTCTGCATTAACAAAGTATGTTAATAATGAATGAGTTTTACAATTAGCTCTTACTTGGAGAACTGAACATTTCCCAGAGTATCTGATATGCATAAGAGTATGTTTTAGCTATAACAAATCTGAGTTTGAATCCCACCCATCCAGCTGACTGAAAAATTTCCAAGCCCCCAAAGTTAACTGCTAGCCACGTGACAATGATTAATTCAGTTCTAGCAGGAATTACGTACTGAGTGCTTTCAAGCAGTCAGATTAAGTTATGTTTAATTCCTCGCCATATTTTCATTAGTATTTTCTACTGTGCCATTCCATTTTTTTACTAAAAGATTTTCAGAACACCACAGTGCATTCTTCAGTGCCAGCATCTATTGAGTTGTGCAGATATGAATTACAAACTGCTGATTAGAGAGATGAGCTAGCTTGGGCTAGCACAACTAGCACAACCTCGAGACCCACAAGAATCAGTTTTGCTGTGGGAGAACGACCACGTATGCAAAGTGCAGTTGAGATACTACAATGATAGGTTACAGTGAAATTTTCTATTTCTCCTTCCTCTTCTTTTAAGGTAGTTCCATGGTGACAAGGATTTAGGGTTGTGCTGGTGAAAAATTAAATAGCATTTGTCTCAGTATAGGGAGTTTCATGGCACAGTAGTTACACTGATGTATATTTGTGGCAGAAAAGGTTTGCCTTGTTTCTTCAGTTCTCAGTCCTTTCCCAACTGTCATTTACTTGGATAATTTGGCTATTTTGAAACAAACTGAGAAGGTTTGGGGTTTTTTTGTTGGTTTGGGGTTTTTTGTTTTTGTTTGTTTGTGTGTGTGTGTATAGTTTTTTTCTGATTTGGCAATTATGCCTTGTTTTGTTGGTTGGCTGATTACTTGCTTTCTTATCCTTTGGTTTCTGTTATTCTCAGATTTCCTAGAATATCCCTTGCTAGTAACAGATAGATGGTATTCCTTGAGAAATCTACTGAGAGAGTTTTGGCATGGGAAGTGCTCAGCTTCTAACAAAGCTGTCCATTTGCAGGCTAGAAAGCATTGTGCAGATTCACTGTTTGATGTGGAGCCAATTCCAGTAAATTGGTAGAATTGTCTGTATTTAAGCTGACAAAAGATCTGACTCTGGAGGTAAACTTGCCAGTTGGCAGCTTATTGAACTTTAATGGCAAATTCCTTTTTTGAAAAAATAATTTCCTTGTATTTCTAAGATGACTTGAGAAAAAGGGACCATCCAGCAAAGTGGCAAAAGTGATACATGACCCTTATATTAAAAATCCTCAATTATTGGAGTTTTTGTGTTTTTTTAATATGTCTTTTCCAGGTAGTTCTGCCCAACATAAACAAGACTTCCATGCAAGCTGTTTTAGATTACTTGTACACCAAGCAATTATCCTCCACTCAAGAACTGGACATACTTGAGTTAATCGCATTGGCAAATAGGTTTTGCCTTCCTCACCTGGTTGCTCTAGCAGGTAAGGACCTGTGACCATGTCCAATGCAGTGTCTTCTGCAACAGTTTAAACATGTCTTAATGATTTTGGAACGCACAGGATTTTTTCATATCGAAGATGATATTCTTTTTTCCATGAAAGGAAAATTATAGTACAACTTCATGTTTTCTCTTATGAAAATGTACTTGTCTTCCTCATGCCTTTTTTAGTTTTGTGCAAAACCAGCTCGTTGAAGCATTTTGTGCTTTAAAAATGCGAAGAGTAAACCTTCTCTTTAGCCTTGATGCAATATCTATGGTTTATGGTATCCATTCTGTAGTTAACAATTTACCTGAAAACAGGATGGACCCTGAACTTTTTGTTATGTAATAGATGAAATGCTCCATTATAAATTTCTGTCCAAAGAGGGTAACTGAACCGATTTAAAAATGATCACGATGTTCATGAGTTTTTTAGAAATACTGTATCTCTTTTCACTGCCCAGGTGGGAGTTGGATATTTTGGTATACACACGGGTATTCAATCTTCAGTTCACTATGAAACTCATCTACTATATATTTAGAGAAAAATGACAGAATAGGTTACTATTCTGGTTTTAAAATTAAGTCTATTCATGCCCCAGACCTCTAGGATATGTTTTTCTTTGTGTGTAACTTGATATTATTATGAAGACGTGGCCAAGGCCAAAACTGTCAGAGATGCTTGAAGCAAAGGTTACATGGGTTAATAGGAAAAAAGATGTTGCAAATTCTATCCACGTACCAAATCCTAGCTCTCTTGCAATAGTGCATCAGGAATGCATATCTTGTCTACATTGGTTGTGACAGAACAAGTCTTTATTGCCTGATAATTCTTACAAGTAGTTGAAGCATAAGCATACATTTACTATTAAAATATTTTGTTCTATTTAATTCTTGTTGAAATAATTTTGAGCCCAAAGGCTTTTGCCAGCAGCTTAATCTGGAAGAGCCAATTCAGCTCACTTCCCAGTAAACACTCCAGCCTCTAAAATGTTTATGCTTCTAGGAAAGGGTTAAGGAGAATCTCCTGAAGTACTTTTTGATGGCGAGCCCACGTTTAGACCTGCAGAAGTAACTAATCTGAGAGGGCCTGAAGTGAATTTTTCTTTATTAGTGCTGTCAGTATGCTATTGCCAAAACCTTGGCTATTGTTTTTGTACTACCCAAAAAAGACAGCCGATTATTTTTCTAATTTATATTGACGTTTGCACCTATCCATTCTGCCAGAAGGAGACAGGTGGCTGCTAAATTTTGTACTTCTGTGAGTGATTAATAGTTGCAGGCTCATTTTCTGTAAGAAAGAGATAGCAATTACATGTGAAAACAGAAATGAATTGAGGCAAAGAGGCAAATACTGGTATGGACTGTCCTTTACTGTAGCAATAGAGTTCACAGGAGTGATGCAGAATCTTCAGCCATAACTGTGAAGGCCAGAATTTGACTTTACTCAGATTTGAAGTTGCTGAGGCTACCTAAGTGAATATGCCACCTACACAATGCTAGAGCTAACACTGGAAGGAGGAAGAACATGGCTTCTTGGATCTTTGTTACTGCTGGATGATCTGACATTGAGATGTGACTGTTTCCCATATGAGTAATGGGTTTTCTCCTGTAACAGAGCAGCATGCAGTACAAGAGCTGACCAAAGCCTCCATGAGTGGCGTTGCAATAGATGGGGATGTACTGTCCTGTTTAGAATTGGCTCAGGTTAGTGCACACTGCTCTTTAAAGATATTCTTGCCAACTGTAGCACTTGTTTTAGCTCTCTTTGTTCTGACTATTACACTTAAGAAACTCAAAGTCCTTAGTTCTGAGAGCAACTGACAATAAAACTGACTCTTATTTTCTATTGTAAAGAAGGTTTTTACGTTAGTTCAGAGATGAAATATCTATGAAAGTAAACTGGAGGTAGTTTTGTTTCAAATACAAGTTTTAATTTTTCTTGATCATTGAGCTTCCAAGCTCTTTATTTTCATGGCTGTGTTGTAATGTAATGGAGCAGTTTAGCAATGGTAACTTGTTCTTGGGTTCCTCTCTGTTAAATTCCAGTAGATATTTAGATCTGTTGTAGTGTAGCAGCAAAAGTTTTTATATTTTTAAACTTAATGCCTAGACTAGCTACTCAGAGCCAGTCTTCTGATAGTTCAGAGCATGTACAAATATTACTTCTTCTTGTTCAGACATATTTCAATGTTTGCTGAGTCCCAGAAACCAAGACTGAACCCTTTTCAAGAGAAGGGCAGCTTACTTAATTTTATGAAGGGTGTTTTTTGTTTCCTTGCTTGAAGACAGAACTAGGAAGTTTTAACTGCTGTTAGGATATCCTCACTGCCTTGTACATGCAACTGCAATGTGTTTGTAACCTGAGGTCATAGTAGACAACTGAAACACATGCAATGAAGGTTGATTTGCATTCTAGCTGTTTCTTCCTTATGACTGTAGGAAGCTTTTACTAGGTGTTGTATTGAGCTTTCGTTAATGCTTGAATTCTATCAGTGAAGCTAGGCTTACAGAAAGTTACTTCAGAACAGGCTTTGTAATAACTCAGAGGTACAGACATAAGGGACAGGTCCAGCATGCCTGAGGTTCAGGGGAACTAAATGCTGTGCATACTAAACACCTACTTACAAGCCTTTTGGGCCACCATTTGCTCCAGCAGAGAAGCCTGACAAGGGCTAGAACATCTAGAGGGGAATTCAGCTTCCAAAGCTTCCCTGTGCTCTTGTGAGAGTGCTGCCAGATACAACTCACTGGGGAATCACACTAGCTTTGGTTCTTAGTTGGGACTGCAGAATGAACAATAACCTCAGTAAACTGAATAAGCTTCTTGTTTTTCTTTACAGTTTCACAATGCTAACCAGCTGGCAGCTTGGTGCTTGCACTACATCTGCACCAATTACAACAGTGTTTGCTCCAAATTCCGCAAGGAGATCAAAGCTAAATCTTCAGGTATGGGCAACACTTCTCCATTTTCATGAGGCCACTCCTTCTTTCTCTCCTTCTAGTCCATTCAACACATAGATAGCTCAGCTGTGAGACTGAACGTCTGCACAATTACATGTAGCATTTTTACATTCTTCTAATCTATAAAGAAGGGTCATAGTCATTAGCCTGATTCCTAGGCAAGCATGTTGCTCTTTACTTATTTCAGAGATGCTAAAAGGAAAAGTTATTTGCTGGTGTCACAATTAAAGATAGGCTCTATAAAGGTCTTGCATTTTTACACTTTAGTGGTCTGAGAATTCTCACATATGGCTGCTTTCAGATTCTTTTCACTGTAAGTACATCAGGAAACTAGGGGAATTTCTGATAAGCTAGCTAACACAGACACTGGATAAATGATTAGTTGTGTAGCTTTCTGCAAACAAGGCATTTTTTGGGATCTGTGTAATTTACTGGCTGGTTTGTGCTTTGTTTCTTTTTAATCAGATAATCAAGAATATTTTGAGAGGCATCGCTGGCCACCTGTATGGTATTTAAAAGAAGAAGATCACTACCAACGAGTTAAGAAAGAAAGAGAAAAGGAAGATTTTGCACTAAATAAACACCATTCAAGGCGGAAGTGGTGCTTCTGGAATTCCTCTGCTGTAGTTGCCTGAACAGAACACATAACTGGAAATTCATAGCCAGTGTCAGAAGTTAGTCTTATTGTTAGAAATAAGATGTTTTCAGGAAACTTTGTTCCATATCTGTGCATTTATTACTGGTAGGGTCAAAAGCACAAGCCCACTGAAAGTGAGCCTGGAACAGCTCCTCAAAGTCCTATGTATATTTTTGGCTAATAAGAAGACAAATGTCTACCATTATTACCTTTCTTTTTATATAAAAAATAATAATAGAGCATTAATGTTTCAATCTCCAATTGGGAAATATTTTTATACTGTCTAGTGTATTTTGTTCAGATAAAATTGTGGATTATCATTTTATTTTACAGACCACAAAACCATGTAGCAGCTTTGTATTAGATTTTAACTATTTTTACTATACGAGTACAGTGAAATAGACAATCCTCAGTCATCAGAAACAGCTTTTAGAGTCTAATCTCTCAATCTCATAAAAAGTCACCTTAGGAAAAAAAAAATCAAGATGCCTAGTATAAATGTTGGTTTTGTTATTTTTTTAAAACTACGTACTGTGCATTTGGTAATATAATTAGATGGGTATTTCTCCTTTCTGAAGTAAAAAGTTAGAATAAGATCCAATAACTGCAAGATACGGAGTGCTTGATCTTTGCTCAGCTGAATAATAGGCAATATAATTACCTGTTCAACTGCAGGCAAATGTATTTCTAATATTTGCCCTGTAAGTGCAAATAATTATGACTATGTGAGCCATGTGAAATCTAGTGGTTCTAAGCATTCAAAGGTTTTAAGCGTCTAGATCAAAGAGGATGTTTCTAAAACCATTTAGAAGGGCTTATTAATTTATATCTTTATAAGTATGGATCTGAATAGAGAAAGCAGTTATACTGCTTGCATTTGAAGTACTGCACAGCAGTTACCTTGTTCATTGTGGTCTTAACCATGCAGCCATTCCTCATGCCGAATTCCATTTTACTTCAGTGCAAGCAAATGAAAGGGCTGCAAAACCAACTAAGTTATCTAGTATTATAATCTTTCGTAAGTGAAGAATGATCTTCGCACACTATCACTGCGTTTTAATCTAAAGTGTTTTGTAGCTTTTTCCCTGGTAGAACTCAAAAGTGTTAGGGTTTGAGTAGGTCATGTATTTCCTCTGGAAATATTCTCAGAAAGCTGGGGGCAAAATAAAGGCAGAAAGGAAGGAATTCCTCAAAAGCAATGTGAGAAAAACAAAAGCCTCCAGTGTTTTCAGATACGCTGTGTGTTTATGACTTTTTATCAACCATTGCTTTAAAGCTGCGGTGTTATACTAGATTATATAAGAATGAAGCATTTTTAAAAGACCAAAAGTAAAATATATAGATTGTAGAACATACATGTGCAGCCCTGCACAGTGTCTCAGGCACAATTCTGTAACTAAGTTAGGTATTGTATATTAGGTTTGTTAATATTTTTTGTCCTGGTGTCTCAGCATACCAATGTGAAAAGCTGTTTATGTTTTTATTTTCTGTATTCACAGGTAAGGCAGTGCAGTCAAGCCCCCATGCTGTAGGTCAGGAAAGGCTTTGGACTGAAAGCCATATACACCTCTACTTATTTAGGTTCCAGTTGGAATAATTCTGGGCACATGCTACCGGAGGGTGGTAGAAGCTGCCTAGCAGGGAAAGAGATGCTGCTCTACAGACTTCTATAAGGCAAGCAAGCAACAGATTCCTATCCCTATAAAAGATTCATCACCATACGGTGATAAAGAAGGGCTATAAATGATAGATGCAAACACTGTCTCCTTAATTCTTGATCAGTGATGATGGAAATTACAGAGAGGAAAGAATGAGAAAAGATGTATGAAGGCAAAGATGAGATAAGTATCTGTTGTCATAAAACATTAGCCATTTTGAGTAAGTATTACTACTAGGTTTTACACAACCAAAGCTACTGTATGATTGTAATCTTGCCAAACTAATGGATATATAAGTGAACCTGAGGTATATGCAATAAAATCCAGTTGTGCTAGTTATCAGCTACTATAACCAAGTGGCTGGTTCATTTGGTTAATGCTGTCTATGGCCTTTAATCTTGGTGGTTACTTTGTGTTTTTTATTTTGCAAAAAAGTCAATAAAACTGTTTAGTTACAAATGGTCTCTCAGCTTTTTTAAGAAGCTTTCTAAATTCCTGAAAAGTCTGCCATGCTTTTTGGAGCTACTTCTAAGCATTTGACTTCAGTATCATTCAGGGAGATTTACTGAGCTGGTATTTGCATGACATATTCAGATTTATGGTTGGGAATGTGACAGGGAAGTTCTCTAGTGTTTGTATGTGTCAGGGATGCAGGAAGGTTGCTACTTGTCATTTACTGTTCAACAGGATAACAAAAAACCTCCTGCCACTTTTCTGTGTGGTTTCTACTGTTTAATTACCATGATACTACCCAAAGGACATGAAACTAATTAGTCAAGACAGACATGGGGAAAAAAATTGCAGGTAAACAGCAGGAAATCCATAAGGTTTTCAGTAAGTTTCCTGCTTTCTCACTACTGAAGTTGTCAGCCTTTGTACAGAATCCCTAATTACCTGTTAGTAGCCTCTCAGCAAAAGTGTCCCCAGCTACAGATATTAATTGATACTAGTTAGAAAGATGTTGCTTTTCTAGAAGACTGTGGTAAGACAATGAAAAGTACAGCATTTATGATTTTTCTCAAAGCTTTTAGTCAATACAAAGGACATGGAAAAGTAAATGCATTCAGCACACAACGTACATTTTTTCTAAAGTGCTAATTTATAGGATTGTTAATGTCAGCAATTTGATACTTCTGGAAGCAATTTTTTATTCTTTTGAATTTACCATTAGAAAAGGTAATGATATCAACACAAAAAGCAGTGACAAAAAATATGAAAATGCTTCTGATTAAATCAGTAGCTTCAAGTCAGAATTGTTGCTTTTCAGGCCTGTTTTGTGTGTGTATATGTATATATATATATATATATGCATACACACATATATAAATATATTTTAAAAGTATAGGTGAAAATACATATATATAGAATCTAGAGAAAGCTGCATAGCTTTTGTTTCTGGAGAGACTCAGCTTATTTCTTAGAAACAGCATTCTTCTGGTTTTTTCTTCTAAGACAGCAAGAACTTCTACAAGCAAGACCTGGCCCAGAGTACTTGTATCACAACAAGAGCCAATGTTTGCAGCTTCCCACCTGCATACAGCACACCAGGAGCCAGAAATAAGATATTCTGTGAGTAATAAAAGATTGACCATACTTCAGCTGTAACTCACTAATTTCATTTTCTGAAGATGTAGCTGTCCTTGCCTTTCAGTCAGATAAGGTCTCAAGGTGTGCAAAAGAAAGCACTGAATTAATGGATACATTAAAAAGGATTACCTCATAGAAGAGATGAATCTGAACATAATTTCTGAGCACTGAAAGCATGGTGGTGTTGCCAAAGGAATTAAGAAAGGAGCAGCACTGTAGTTTATTGGCCTAATTCTACATCAACTTATCTACAGGAATCCACCAAGTACAGAGCAATTTATACCTTGAAGCGTTTGATTTGTAAAATGTAGGGCTTTCCCTTTGTTGCCATAACAAGCATTCAGAGTCTGTCTAAAGGCATGTTGGTAATCCTGCTCTGAGGGCCAAGTCTTCCATCTTCCATAATAAATAGGACTAATTTTGGTATCTGAACTCCAGGAAATGGTGAAATATTTCAGCTCTTCCACACTAAGAAGGATTGCAGTTTGGTAGAGAGATTTGCTGACCTTGTCAGATTAAGCCACAGTTTTTGTCTACATTTGTTTTTTTTGTTTGTTTTTCGTTTTTTTTTTTTTAAACCCAGGTCAGTCTTTTGTCATCAGATAAGCTGGCATTTATTTGTTCTTATTTGGAGTCCAAGACACGTACTATGCAGAGATGCCTTAAGGTGTCTTCTTGCCACTCCTGAATCCCCTTAGATTTTTGGTCTATTAAAATGATATAACAGTATTTGCATGAGTCTATTTCTCCTGCAGGCAAAATTCCTATTGAAATCAATGAGCTATCCTAAAAGCACACTTTGGGCTCTGAATTGCCACCTAATGAATTTACACATTATCACCTGTCTTTGTTCAAAATCTGCTAACTGAAATTTGCTCTGTGTACTGCATGCAGGATGAAAGCGTGTTAGCAGCAATAATCCCCATCCTGCAGGCTCTGCAACAGGATAACTCATTGTCAGCTAGCATATGCCTTTGCCTTCAGGTAAAAGAATATAACCCGTGTCAAGATTTGCTTTGCATTAGCAGCCAGAGTAGTGAGACTATTGTATATCCTTCTATACAGGGAAACTAAATCCCTCCCTGCTGCTTACATGAAAATCTTGAGCTTTCGGTAGAAATGTGAGAAGTTCTGGGATCAAGGCTAAAGAAGCCTATGAAGAAACTTGAACATGAGATGCACAAGTAACGCTAACGTATCTAAACTCTGAAGAGTGTCCAGTGAGAAGATTAAGATGCGATTCAGAGAGAGCAGTTAACACAGAACAAAGTTGTTATGGCTCCTTTATAATTGTTTGATCTTAGTATCTCATTTGCAAGCAGACACAATCACTGTAACATCCTGCTGGGCTGTTTTGCAGTTAGAGATGTGTTCAGTTATAGCTCCTGCATGTCCTATGCACACATTACAGTGAAAACATTATTTTGTATTGCTGATTCATCTCAAATCCGTTCCCATACTGCACTGAAACCTCAGTCTGTCCTTTGGCCTTAGAAAGAGCCCAGTACCACCTGGGATATCTGTTTTTGTCTCTTAAAAGAGTATTCCAGAACAGCAAGTCCTTACCCCAATATACAAAGGATCTCCAGTGGGTCTGTGTTATCAGGACAGCACACAGCAAAGTTCTGTGACACCAGGAAGTGGCCTTTTCAGAGATTTCAATGTAGAAAAGTTCATCAGCTTCTGAAAAACACAAAGTCAAGAGGGTGAGTCACAGAAACACGGGTAACAGCAGTACGACAGCTTTTCAGGTACCATATAAAAATTCTACACTGGGATGGGGGAGATTCCCTGTAGATACCAACACTGACTTTCAGCTTTAGGTCTTCACCATTAGATATTTAGTGATCTGGGTGCCATCCCTTCTGTGTTCTGCAGGCCTGAGTAGCTGCACTAGTGGAGCGTCTCCTCCCAGCTCCCATTCTGGCTTCAGTGAAGTTTAGATAAGCAGCCCGTTGATGACACCTCACAAGGAGGATTTTTAATTCTTGACCTTAACATTAAAAAAAAAAAAAAAACAAAGAAAAAAAGGTAATTATTTATTCCTCATGGGAACTATTTTAGTTTTACGCTGAGGCTGTGCAACAAGGATTACATGGCATTCCTGATACTTGTGCTAAGTCAAAATACCCTCAAGGGTTAAAAAACAAAACACAATTGGCAGCATCTTAGGAATATATCATTAAATTTACATTTTGCCGTAAGTATAAGATGGGCATTCTGAGCATATGATGAGATGCAATTCCCTACCACCTTATAAACATTAGCTCACTCTCTTCATATTACAAATGTCATTCATAAGGCTTCTATCCTAGGTTCTCAGTTGGACTTACAGCCCACTTGCAGAGTTTCATGGATCCCCATTCTGATTTGCACGTGCATTTCCAACTGTGGGGTGTCTGGGTTTATTTTTTAGACAATTAAGAAATTTCACATTAAAAAAAAAGACTCCATTAGAAGATCCCTGAACAGGATTACTCAGGAGCATGAGACTGAATCCTCCCTATTCTTGTGTAGCAAATTCTGCAGGAAGAGCTGCACTAGCTTGCTAGAGGTGTGATGTGGTCACTAGTCCTGCAGTCAGTAAGACACACGGCTCTTTAAATGAGCATCAATCAAATGTAAATTCTTGCACACTCACTATTCATCTGTGGAGAATAGGATTTGTCTCTGCTTTCCATTAGGGTTGGGTACAGAACTTTTTCTGCTTCCCTCAGACTCACCCGCTGAGGCAGGTCCTCTCTAGCTCTGTTCCCATTTGATTTCAGCTGGCCAAGGGCAGAAAAGTTGGAGAACGCTGAAGTGATGTCTGACCCACCAGACGAGAGACATCTCTAGAAGTCACTGTGGTGAGTGGAGAACTGGAGGACTCACAGCTGAATATTCTTTTCATTTTCAGATTAGTAATGATAGAAAATGAATAGCAATAGTAACGAGCAATAGGGTCCAGTGTATCTTCTTCTCACAGCTTTTATATCCTGTGGGGAGCTTGTTTGCTGTAGTCACAGCAAGGTTTATTTTGTTGAAACTAATTTTAGATAGGAAGAATAAAAATTGAAAATGCATTAAAAGAAAATTGGGTAACTATCAAAAAGTAATTGGGTAATTAAGGACTTCCTTTCCTTTTTTAGGCATCTCCCAGGTGTTAGACTATGATGAAAGTTTTGAAGATCAGTACTGGGATTGATGGGCAGACTTTTCCTAACTCTTAATAGAATAAACTGCCTCTCTTTAGCTGAAAAGAGGGGCAAAAGTGCCTTTGTTAGAGATCATGAAGCGATTCACCATCTATCACATCTTTGCAGTACGCTGCAGTAGGTGATGTTGGTTGGAGCTTGCTGTATGGCTCTGGGAAAGCATTCTGCAGCACTACAGGGAGTAAATGTGTCATATAACTGTACAAGGTGGTTGCAACTTTCGCTGCAAGTGCCTATAGGTGCAGCAGTAGATGACCTACTATTTTTTTTAAAAAAAAAAAAAAAAACCAAAAAAAAACATCTTTAACTGTGAAAGCTAGATTTTTAGAAGCTCTACTACTGACAGCAGTCCCTGTAACAGTGAGTGCCAATATAAATCTAAGTGGCACTGAGGGCAGCACACATGGGGGAAAAAAAACTTCACTCACCTGCACTTTTTGAAGGTTAACATGCAGCCTTTACTACCATCTGTGCTGAATATTTCCATATTGTTCATTCACAACACCCTGGCAGACTGGGCACTATCCAGTCTTCTCTCTACCAGTCACAGGAGTCCATTGTTCTGTAGCACACTTCTCATCTCTTGGCTGTTTATCCAAATTTACCATATTTGCTCTTTACTTTGCAGCAGCAGATTTGAAACAAGTGCTTTTTTTCAGGACAAGCAATACCTAC